CCAGTTTATCACTTACTTTTTATTGCCAGAATGTTTGCCGTGTATTGTAAAGCTATGTTGCACAATATAAAAAATTAATGTGGCATTTCAAATTTCCACTATGCTGGTTGGAAAAAGATATTGCTTATCATGTGATCATGCAGTATATATGATTTCCCAATGTTCCAAATGTAAATAATAATAAAAAATTCCGCATTATTATTTAAAAAAAACCACTTTACTAAATAATAACAAACTCACAACTAGGAATGCAATACGAGCTTTTGCTTTACGTGTTACAAATCATGCACACCATGCTATGCAAGAACAAAAATTCATTTATATAAAGTTGGGTTTGGGATTGCATCTTTGTCGCAAAGAACAAAAAAATGACATCACTCAGGCAAAGACAGTATTCTATTTATTAAATCCAAATAGGACAGCCGTCCCCACATTTTTTTTTTGAAAAATTTGAGTATTTCATGTAACAAAATCGGATCTTAATCTTTATCATCATCCTCAAAAAATGATGATTCATTGTTGTTTTTGCTACTTGTTGCTATAATAATAACGCTTTCTCATAATTGATGGATCATCATACGTATATACGATAAAATAAGTAATAAAAAACAATAATGAATTCAATTATTGAAATTAAATAGCTCTTAAATGTAAAATAAACAAAATTTTTTATTCTTACCAAACAGTTCTCTCGGTTGGAAAAAAAGATATTTATTCTATAGCACGATAAATGCTTATCTTGTGAAAAAAAGGTATCCACATTCATTGATCAAAGAAAGAAAAAGAATTGCGTAGATTGATTTCAGAAAAATAAAAAATTTTTCTTTTTGAAATTTACCACTCAGCGAAAACAAAAAATTCCTTCACAAAAAATTAAGTTTGAAAAACAAAGATTTTTGATTTCAATTGCAATTGCAATGCATTGCTTTGCAATTTAATTCAATCAATGCAATTCAATTCAACACAATTGCAACCTGTTATAAAAAAACAAAACATTTGCCGTACGACTCATTTTTTTTTTGTGAAAACGTTGATCGCGCCAAAAACCGAAAAGACCAGATGCAAAAGGAGACAATCGGTGAGAAACCTGCACGGAAGTCGCACGACCTGCGGGCTTTGGAAGAGATCGTGACACGGCAAATGTTAAATCTTTTTTTTGTGTTAATGAATCTTCTGTCAAAAAAGATTGCAATGATTAAAATAGTTTTTCAAAGAAATTACTCATACTATATAACAAAAAATTTGTTTTTGACTGTTATTTTATAACAAGTTTTATCACATAGACATCAGTTTTTATATGACACTCTTCTATCCATGCTGTAAAACTAATCCTTGTTGTCAAAGTAATTTGACACATGTTTTTTGTTATTGTTTTAGCATCGCACAAGTTATAATTATACCACACGAAACTAAATTTTCAAATTTTGGAAGGGAAAATTATTTTTCCCCTTCAGTTTCGTTATACATTGCATGCCGTGAATTCCAAAAAATAAAATGTAACAAAATCAAATCAAATTTATTCAGTTTTACGCCTAGACCAGCACATCGCCGAAAAGGCGAGATTTCAACAGAGTTTTTGAAAAGGTGAATAATGAGTCCGAATACTGTTTCAAAATCCAGAGCCTTCTTACTCTGAATTTTTCATCCCAAAAGTCAAATTAATCTCCCTCGCTTCTGTAAAGAATAATAAGAAAAAGTACATTGCTTTTAAAATCCAATTCTCAATGATAGCGAACCGCCGAGTATTATGCATTAAATATTAAGACGGCTATGTATGATTATTTTTTATATATATATATAATTAATGTGTTAAAAAAAATTATCCGTCCAAGTGTTATTGATAAAGTGGCCACGTGATTGAACCAGTTTGCGAACAATATAATAATAATAATAATAATAATAATAATAATATCGTTCATTGTAAATTTTCTTATAAATATTCTCCTAAAATTGCTTTTGCTGCTTCTCCAAAATTCTCTTCATCACCTGTAATTAATTTCATCACACGTAACTAATTTCATAATTATGTATTATGTGTTACGTTTTTGTGATACTTCTTTAAAATTAAAAAAGCTTCAGATATACAAAAACAATAATTTTTATATTCATGATCATAATA